TATCATTCTCTCCTCACACACATGCAAGGATTATAGTTGAACATGTCAGTAAAATGTTATCAGTACTTCTCACTCACCTTTTTCTTCTGTGGAGGATTCTGTGCCGACCCTCCTCCTTCGCCAGCGGTGTCCCCATTCAGTGAACGTGAGAAGCCGAGTGAGCTTCCCTCCTCGGAGCAGGGGTAAAAGAGCTGCCCCTGGCCTTCACTAAAGGGGGCCTGAGAGCCGACCAACGACCCTGTCCCCGCTGCGGACCCTGCCGCAGCCCCAGCTGCAGCCTCGGGCCTGAAGGGAGCCACCAGAGGCTCCAGGGTGTGTGAGGGGGTGAGGTCCCTTAAGTTTGAGTTGACTGGAGAGAAGTTCAGGCCAGCTGGTCCAGTCGGGCCTCTGTCTGGGCTTTTGATCCAGCCAGAAAAAGAGGAAGCACACGTTTCTGCGGACGAGGAAGCCTCGCTACCGCCCTCCACGACGATGCCATCTGCTCGGTCCTCTCCGCAGTCCACGGACTCAGCAGCTGGAGGCTGTGGACTCTCAGGAACTGAGACCTTGGCTTCTGTCGGGAGTCCGTCTGAACTGGGAGCTCTGACGCAGGGAGAGGAGACCAACGAAGGAGGACGGTCGGCCTAGGAAAAGAGGGAGGAGTCGGGATGGTCATAATAAAGGAAGTACATTAAAAAAGCTTGTAATCTCCACAATACCAGAAGTAGGATCGCCCTGTCCTCTTTACAGTCAAGCCATTTAAGAAAAGAATAAAATTTATTCAACAAATAATAACCTCTACTGATGAATCAAAACCTGCAACTACTAATAAAGTTGTTGACCTGATCGACAATTCCTTCACTCACCTCTTGCACGCTGGGTTTCCGGCTGACCTCTGGGGAGTTTTCTACTGAAGATTCACTCTGCGTAACAACAACAGACTCAGTCACTCTGGTTCTTTTTCCCCTCATGTAACAGAATGTGCGACCTCTGTTTCGACAGCCTTACCTCCTGAAGGGCGTTAAGTGGCTGCGTTGGGGTGCTGGGTGGGGGTTCTGTGCTTGGCTCCTCGGTTCGGGGACGCGGTGGGGTAGCCAGTAAGATGGGGGTTGCGGGTGTCTCCGATTGGTCTGCCCTGGTGGGCGTGGCACAAGGTGAGCCGTACGGTGTCGAGCTCTCGGACATGCAGGCGTCTAATGGACTCAACCGGCGCTTTTTCAAAGGTGTGGGCAACTCTGTGAGAAGAAATATGGTGTGGGCTTAAACTGAGGGTCCATCGATTATTTTCCTATATTATACATACTAGCATTAAATCTTTCGTAATGTATTGCAGTCTTAAATGTTTAAGAAATGTTTGTCTTATTCCGAAATTGCTGGTTACCTACCTGGTAGTGAGCAGGTGCCGTTGTAGGGTAGAGGGCTGTCAGAGTCTCCGTTGATGGAGGGGCTGAGGGGACCCTCACTGGGCATGAGAAGACTCGGTCGTCTGGCTGGGCTGGTGGAGCCCTCCTCCTCTAGAGCCTGCTTCAACCATCGCTGTAAGACAAGAGTGGAGGTTTGGTAACTCAGTGATGGATGAGACTTTCTCTCCTGATAGAAGTGAAATTCCTTCATCATTGCAGAAAACTTTACAGCCAATCAAATTAGTTAAAAACTTCAGTCAGAGAGATAAAACTAATGATGGATAGAAAGGTAGAGTCGACTTGGGAGAGCTTCATTATCTCTAATCTAAGGAGAGATCCATGTGACTTTCCAAAACTGGCTGAATGTACATTTTTCCAAAGCCAAATGGGGATATATCTAAAGCAGGACTTTTTACCTTCTTGCAGGAGCCAGTGGTTGGCGGCGTTTCAGGCAGTTCTCTGGAGCGCCGTCTTCCTGTGGGGACTCCTGGAGTGGTGGGGCTGCGATTAACCAGGAACGGGGACGAGAAGCGGACGTAGTGTTTGGGCGTGCTGTAGACCTGCGGAGAGCAGGCCATGCCTGGGAGGGCGTTGAGCTGTGTGGCAAGTACTTCGGGGTCACTGCTTATTCTGAGCGGCCTCTCGGGGGCCGGCTCTGGGGTCCGTACTGCGCCGCGGTCCTGCTGCTTCTCTCCCACCCACTCACTCACAAAGTGCTGTGGAGAAGAATTCGAAAAGATTTTTAAAATTATGTGACAATCTGTAGAGTTTCCAAACATTAAATGTGTCTGATATGATGGAAATATTTGCCAATAAACTATTAAAGGGGGGTTTTCTTCAAGTTCCAGCTTCCTCCCACAGTCCAAAGACATGCAGGTTAATTGGTGACTCTAAATTGCCCGTAGGTGTGAATGTGAATGGTTGTCTGTCTCTATGTGTCTGGGTGTACTGTTGTGGGTGCAGGTGAGCGTACCTTTTTAGTTTTGAAGTTCTTGCTCCCGGTGCGGTTTCTGTCGGGTGCGGGTGAGCTGCTCTGTGGAGGGCTGGTGTCCGGTGCTTGGGCGAGGATGGCCTCAGGCTCTGGTGCGGTGGGCGTCTCTCCTTCGGGGGCCTCATTGGTCAGAGGCTCCACCGACTCAGTCGGGGAGCCAGGGGCCAAGTCGGAACAGGTGCTGATGGTGCGAGCTCGCCGGCGCTGTTGGCCGATGTGCGTGCGGTTCCTTGAGAAACTTTTCCTGTTCCTTGAGCTTTTGACCTTGGCCGGCTTTAAACCTGGCTCCTCTTTCACCTCCAGAAGTGGCTACAAGAAAAACACAGTAGAGCATTTATATCTAGTAAAATCCAAAAAAAATTATATATAGTAAAAGTTTTCCCTTTTTTTCTAGAAAAATTAATAAAAATTCAAAAGAACAGGAGGTTCTTTGTGTCTCTGTGCTCTCACCTGCATGACAGCAGGAGAATCTGCCGTCTCCGGCGTGGCTGGAGGCTCCTCCTTGATGTCACTGCGGCCACCGACCTCCGTCTTGACGCTCCCGATTCTTTCCAGGGCCTGCTCTCTACGTTTCTCCCTCTTCTCCATCCGGGCAAAGGCTTGCAGGATGGCCTCCATCTTCCTCTCTTCTCGTGTCTGCAGAGAGATAGGCGTGGGGTTCAGAGGAGGGGTGATGGAGGGGAAAAGGAAGCAGAGACATTAGTCTATTGGACACCACTCCCCCATCGAGCCCCAGAGGTTGCAGTAAAATGGGTTAATGTGTGCTACGCGGCAAAAGGCGAATTAGCTGTGCAGAGTCAAAGGAAAGTGACCCCTTACCTTCATTATGAGAGAAACAAAGAGGAGAGGAGGTCAGGCAGGAGCAACAGGAAAGATGTTGAAGACGTAAATGTAAATGAGTTTCTACAGCGCTTTACGACTTTACAATTAAACCCCGACAAACCAGGAGGCTTAATAGCTCGTCTAATGTGTTCCTATATGTATGTTTGTGCCACATATTTCCCCGCTCTACCTCCACCACAAAACCCAAACAAACAGCTCCACCCTTTGTCAAAACACCCCCTCTGAAAACCACAAACACTCTGAAACAAACTGCTGAGAGCTCAGGCTGTAAAGACGGACAGTTAGTACGCTTGTAACTCAATCACCTCTGGGAGATTTGAGGAGTAGGGGAAGGCTGGTAGATGGGTGGAGTAGGGTTGGCTATGAATGGGTCAAGTGTACCTCCTTGTGTTTCAGTCTCTTCCAGCTGGAAGCCGCCCAGACAGGGAGATGGGACTGCTCCTCTGGGCTGGCCTGAGTGTTCAATAAAGAGACAGCCCAGTTTAGTAGAGACATGTCCCCCTAAACAAGGCCTCACAAACACTGGACAGAGCTAGACCTGGACTCTCTGATCTTCTGGTGGAGCTAAATGCGCCTGTGTCAGGTACTGTAGGTGTCTGACAGCTTGGACTTTGTAATATCCTGCTATAGGGAATATTTGTAATTATGGGACGACTTCGGGAATAAACCACTGACACCACAAAAGTGCTAAATATTTCCATCCTTATAAAAACCTCTGTTATATCATAATACATTCTTGTTGAGGCCTCTTTTAATGGTTTTGAGCTGTCGGTGATGGAAGCAGTTGTAAGGGAAATATGGTAAAATCTCTTCAATCCAAAACTTTGGTGTTAAATCAAACTGAGGGACACATCCACCACGTCCAATTTGGAGCTTCAGCCCAAACACGGTGTCCATGCATTTGCTTCTACGACTCACCAACCAATCAGGACAATACACTGGCCGGCTCAACATTTTCTAAACACCATTTTTAATACAGTTCAGGACACAATAGCAGCACACACATGCACATGGGACTACTGCCAATTTGTTTTATGCTCTGCTGCCAAGAAAGCACCATCGCCTCACAGTAGCCTCACACTGGGTTCGAGCTAAGGATGCAACAGTATGAGATTATGATGCTATGTTATCAGTCTCAGACATCACAGTTGCCTGGTTTCACGTATACGCTACAACACAATCATTATTATTATCATTATCAGTGTCAGTAACCCTTAAAGGAATGAAAACAAGGTTTTTTTTTGGTTAAACAAACACTAATAAAATTGAAATTTAAAACCATTTTTTCAATGGAATTTTGAGTAAAAAAAGTCTCACTGTTGAAAATAAATAAAATAAAGGTGAGATTTTTTTGTATAGTTGCATTTTTTTCCCCAGTAACGTAGATAGGCAAACGGATAATCGTCAGTTTTCATACCACGGTATACCATGAAGCGGATATACTTCCGAAGCCCTAGTCCGAACCTGCAAACCTGGGGCCTTTCTCAAGTTCTCCCTGTGCCTACGCGGGTTTGCTCTAGGAAAATTAAGTTCATCTCTTTTACACCTTGCATTAAAATGCGTTTTGGGTGATCGCAATCAGATTGTGCTTGCCCACATGAAAGTGCCGATGTAAATGGATCCAAAATGCACCAAGGACAGATTGTGATCCCATTGTCCAAACCACTTCTGGAGGTGGTCAGGGATGTGACCACGCTGAACACAAGGGTAAATAGATATGTTTTCAATCCGCATGCAAAAATTATGTGGGCGGAAATAAGTATTTATCCAAAGCACACAACGTGACCTCATGTGACGCTGCAGCTGTTGGGCTGCACGATTGTTGCTCTCTTATCTAATGCTAATACTACCTTGGTGTCTCCTATCGTTTGTCATGTATTGTGCTGACATTAAATCAGGTGGGCCTGTTTCATCCTCTTCAGCTTCACTGTTTTATGCCAATATTGTCTCTGAAAATACAGATAAGATTATGATGTGCAGCCTATGTAGAAAAATACGGTTTTAGTCTTCTAATAGTGGATAACAGATGAGGGCGGCGCCCGTTTGGACTGAGCGATCTGATCGTTACATGGACACTGGAGACACATAATACTATATATAAATGTAATCAGGTTAAATCATCTCTAGATACAAGACGCATTTTAATGCAAGGTGTCAAGTGGTTCACGTGTCAGCACTGAGATTGACTGGCGACCTGTCCAGGTTGTACCCCGTCTCTCACCCAATGTCAGCTGAGGTCGGCTACAGCATGTACAGATAATAGAGAGACCTAAAACAACTCAACTTAATTGTCCTCAAGGGTAGATGTGCCTCGCATACAAATAGAACGCAGACTTGAAGCACTACCAAACACAAAACGCCACTGATAAACAAAACTCCAGTCTCCACAGGTGACCCAGGACGATCCAGGACTCCTTTCCAAACAACACGGGCTCTTGTTTAAGTAGGCATAATATAATGCCCATACACATCACTGTTATCTCCCCCGCACCTTTGTCACAGCATGGATTTACAACACCCACATGCATCTACTACGCTTGTGATCGTCAGTTTGTGAATGCACGCTTCTTTGAGCCCGACAGCAGTAGCTCTCTCCTGGGCCACATTCCATAGAAACCAGCCTATTGGATCTCCCAAAGTCAATATGGCCCTGGCAACAAGGCTCTACCCTCCGCAGCCCCTCCTCCCCCTGCTGCCCCCACCCCCTCCTCCCCTCTCTTCAACCATCTATCCCTCTCTGGCCGATTAGCAGAACTGTATGTTGGCCAAAGATGAGTCAGCACTTTGCACCTTGGGTCCGCCGTGTGAAATGAAGCTGACTGCAGGGTAATTTCCAGAGTATGTGTGTGTGTGTGTGTGTGTGTGTGTGTGTGTGTGTGTGTGTGTGTGTGTGTGTGTAGTGTACCATGCTCGCCTGTGTGAATGTGTGTTTGATCCCATCTCTCAGGGACACACGGCTGTCTGGCAGGAAAAAGAGTGGTTGAACCAGTAATTGGCCATTTCAAACTTCCAGCCGCAATGAAGGTGAGAGCAGAGCTGTACTCAGAGTATAACGCACACTGGGGCACAGTTTCAGCCCGCATGACGACACAACATACTGGTTTGTTCCCACCGACAGGACATGGTGTTGTAAACAGGCACCAGAGGCCTACTAATGTCCTAATATGCTGGAGGAAAAAGTGCAACAAATGAGGGAAATAAATGCGACTGCATAATGATAGACAAGCACAAAGCCTTGGTACTGTGAAGAAGAGGGAAGCTGCAGGAGGAGGAAAATAAAGTACTCAGCAAAACACATACAAGGGGCATTGAGAGTGGTGGGAGCACTAGCAATAGATGAGCGATGAAGAGGAGGGTGGTTTGATGGAAGGGAGGTAGAGGACAGCTGCTCCTATCCAAGCCACAGCCCCCGTAGCAGACACATAGTTAGGTCCACACCCAGAGCAACAGGGGACAGACTTATTTTTATTTTCGCTCTTTCTGCCGGGTGGCTGCATGGCAAGTTTAAAAAAAAAAAAAAAAAAAGAGCCCCTAGCTTGGCACACTTACCATCTTCCTCCTCCTCTCTGCAATCTGCTCCTCTGACTCCATCTCTACTTCATTGCTAACGGAGGTTCTGTCTTCTAGATCCTCATATAACTCAGGATCCTGTAAGAGGAGGGGAGAGGGCGGTATGGCGCTTTATCATGGCTGATCAGTCAGTCTGGCTACAGACTAGAGGGAGACAGGTAAGAGTGGAGGAGAGGGGAGGTGAGGGAGGGAGGGGGGTAACCTGAAATATATAAGGGACGGCTTGCTTTTAGGGGTCAGCCTGTGCACAAAACACATGTGCTCCAAACGTGTCTTTGGTCTTACACAGATTGACGGTTAGTGAGTCTGCATGAGCACCTCACAGGCTGCACTGACACAGGACTTTTCCGATTGCTCCTTAGATCCGATCTTTCTGCCTGTTCACATGACCCACATCACTGTGAACCAATCTCTGCCCTGAAACATCTCACATAAAACCAACTACATCACATGTGTTGAAACAGCAACAAAAACCTTCACATTTGCAAGGTGGGCATTTGGGGGAAAAAAATGAATGACACAGTGGTGCAAGTACTCATCTCCAGAGTGATTCCTGCGGAGGTTGAGGACAGTTCGTCACATGTTGAGGATAACGGTGAGAGGAAGAATTCGGCCGATTTCCAGTTTTGCTGGTCTCGTCCAGTGTACGAGCTTAAACTAGTTAAAAAGTAGCCTATAACCCATGCTGACTGTGTAACGATGCTAAATCCAACTTGTACTGCTTTAGAAATAAGCAATATGACAACTTGATAAACATAATATGTAAATATAAATAACTAAATTCCAGTTGAGGTGGGAGGGGCACAGAGCCGTGCACGTCGTGTTTGTTTACTGTTTTTTGGGGTGACCAGACGAGACACAGCATTCTCTGGGGAAAACAAAAACAGCACGAATATGGTCATATTTTGGATTTAAAGCCGCAAAATAAGTGTTTTTTATTTTTAAAACATCACAATAGACAAGGGATGGCCGATTCATTGAGCTACAAAAAAGGATTTATCCACATGTCAGCTTCGGAAGGAGATCACGAGGGAGCTGGTAAGCTAAATGGCCATCGCTAACGACAAGCTGGACAGTTTGTTGTATTGTATGTCACTTTCAGTAAATATCAACAAAAGTAGAAGATAACAAGTTGGCTACTCACCCATCTTTTACATGGTAGTGTCTGATTTCAGGTGCACAGCTGATGTTTGCATTGTTTGTTTACATGAAACAACAGAAGTGCATATTTAATGGATTCATTGTTGACACAGAGCGCCGATGTTAGCACACAGTCATTGTGTTCCACACGAGAGCGGCTGCTGAGTCCGGTGCGACTAGATGTTGTAGTACAATTCGGTATACCAGTCCAGCCCTGTGTTTGGCTTAATATCAAACTGGTCTGAAAATGTTTACACCGGCAAAACAATTTTTGTTCTTCGTCTGTAGTCAACAGACAGCTCCGACACTGTGTGGTGAGAGATCTGCGCCTGCACGGTAAAGTATGACGTGAAGAAACCATGAATATGTGAGGAGGGAAAACCCACACATGAATTCCAGTATGACTTTTCTCACAGCCGTCACGAGACCAGTGATTGGTTATGTATTAGAATTAGGATCCCATATGAAAGTGGCCCAGGTCTGACTGTGTCCACACTACTCTGAAAAAAAAATCAGATAGAAAAGAGGATTTGGGCCGCATTTGCTTGTAATGTGAATGTAGTCACTGTTTCACTCTGAGCACACCCTCATGCTGCACCAGCACATACTTACAGCAGAACTATTTAACAGCTGACATACTGCCCTGCCTTCAGAAGGAGCGTATGGTTGTAATAGTGATGACTTATAGACCTCTTATCTTTCTGGTGGGACACCTCATCTCATCTTTCCTCCCTTCAGCTCTGACACAACTCTGCAAAATGCTTTTACATTCTGAGACGTTGAAAACCACTCTCACCTCATACAGCTTAACCTATGTGACACACAGGACTAACTTCTAAATGATCAAGCACAACACTTTCAAATCCACTTTGACAGTAAGAACATTTCTCACATTTTAAACTGCTGAATGAACCTAATTTGTAAGAGTTTCGCTTGGTCATTACAAGTGAAAACTGCTTTTCTGGGACAGATGACAGACAAGAAACTCTGTTGCTGTTAACACATCCAAGAGAAACGCCGTTCTCTGAGTGCGTTGCACAAAAGTGTAACACGCTGCAACACATCTCTGCCAGACAAGTAGCACAAAAGCGTTTTGTGCAACGACAAATCTGAACTATGTCGTCAAAATTATTAGTTGGGGAGGTGAGGTGGATGCATAAAGGGAAAATGGGAAAAATAGAGGGAACTAAAGAGGATGTATAGTGACTAACAATGGAAAACACATGCACAGAACATTTCACAGAGATCAAACAAAATATCATGCATGGAACACGAGGGTAAATGTGTATTAACAAAAAATATGCCGTAGTGGACAAAGTCTCAACATGTGAGCAGTAAAGTGTGAAGAAGAGCGTTAATGTTCATGAGTGTGATCTTGCCTGGTTGTTGGAGATGGAGAGGCGCAGAGGAGAGAGTTTCCTCTGTTTGCCGTCGCCTACAGTCTTGCTCTTGCCCTCACCGTCCAAACCCATGTTCTGGTTCTGGCCCTGGTCGTCCCGCACCGTCTCCTTGTCCTTGCGACTCCCCCGGCGCCGGCCTCCGGCGACCAGGTTCTCTGTGGGTTCTAGATTGTGCTTGAGCACCGGGCACTCCTGGTTCCCCTTCACACAGGCACAGTCCACCTTGTATTTACTACAAATATTAAGAGAGGAAGAGGAAGAAGGACGAGGTTATAAGGTGAGAGGATCTTTCCTTGCAACTGTAGCTCTGCATGCTACTTTAACTCAAGTTAACTCACCAGCTGCCATAGTCATAATCAAAACCAATGGTGATTTCTGTGCCTTTGTTGATAGGCCTCAGTGAGTAGATGTATAAATGCAGCATGCCATCCTCGATGACGTGCCGCACCTGAGGGAGGGAAAGCAAAAGATTAGTAAAGAGGCATTACATGAACACGAAGGAGGCCTGTCACGATAACTACTTTTGTTGGACGATATATTGTCCCGAAAATGATTGCGATAAACGACATAATGGTCATTTTGAGACCATTTATGCCACTGATATAATAATATCCTCCTGAGACACTGCACATTTTGGGTTTTGTGCACCTTATTCTTCATTCTGCTTAAGTTAGACCTGTTGTCCTCGTTCATGGACACTTTTTGTGCCATCTAGTGGTAGTAAGAGCTCAATACCATGTAAAAACAAGATGGCAGCCATCTCTGCCAAGTCAGTCTGCAGCCAATGCTGACACAAACGTGGACAAGGTTCAAAACCTGATCACATTTTATGATTGAGACTTGTTTACTTATGATTAATATTGTTTTAGTTTGACATGGCAACAAAACTGACCAATTTTAGCAACAGTAACAAGATAAGACGCTGTTAATTAGGAAGTGCTCATTTGAAGATGTTGGGACTTTATTAATCATCTCATTTGAGGGCAGTTAACTTTTAATTAAGAAAATTTAAACACTGAAATTGGAATATGAACAAAAACATTTCACATATGTTTTAAAGTAATCAAAACCTCTTACTATAAACAAGAAAGTACACATACAATAATATTGTACCTTTATAGCAGTAGCCCAAAATTACTCTTACTACAAAATTGGCCAACAATAATAAAACCAAGTGATGCCTCCTGCTAGTAATAGACAAGTTTAGCTGAGCTCCGGGAACACCGCAGTTGCCTCCATAATCAAGTCAGTGTGTTGGGAGTCCGTCTCTGGGAGCCGAGCAGTTTGCTAGTGGATTTAGAGAGTGGGGGATGAAGTTGTCAGAGGGTAAAACTACAAAAGACAGACTTTATGGTTGTTGTTAGAGGTTGGCAAGGTAACGACTACCAGGACAGTGGCTTTTCGACTTCAATTGTGCAGCTGAAGGCCACCAGTAAGCTACGCAGTGTCGTTTTGAGGTCTTATGTCTGTCTTTGGATGTACACAAGTAGTGGGAGGAGGAGATGGGGGGGGAGAACTGCTGCATCCGAGTCTTATAAAGTTCAGGGAAACCGTGCTGTTTATTCTGGCATCATGTTGGTGAATTTCTAATGTCAACACAATGAATGTTATCTAGGTCATGTCTATACATTGTATGATAGTCCTTAGCGATCATGACAGGCTTTACAGAGATGATAAGGTGCCGAATTAATTGAAGTAGTTAAGCTTCATTTGGTCATTCAGTTAATGTTTACTTACTTCAGAGTTGGGGGTACAGGAGCGACGGATGAAGCGTGCCTCGTTGCCGAAGCTGCGAGCGTCCACACACATCTCCAGTCCGTCAAATTTAGAATAAAATAACACAAATGGGTATGGCCTGAAGAGGGGAGAGCATGAGTGTTAATAATTCACATAAAAACACCACGATGTAATGAACCCCCAGAGCTCTTCATAATTTGTTTGACCTCCATAACAATATTCAATTTACATTCAAAAGACAGAACTCCGAGGAGAAACCCTTTTGATAAGTGACGGGCACCCTGACCTCTTGAAGAAGTATCCGTTGGCCTCAAACTGCTGTCGAAGCATGAACTTTCCCCTGTACTCAATGATGAGGGAGTCTGGGGCCAAGTCTCGCACCGCCTTGAGGATCTTCTTGTTCTTCTGAACTTGACTCTGGAAGAGAGAGACAGTCAGGCGTGAGTGCAGATCCTGGACAGGCTACACATTAAATTACACTAAGATTTTAAAAGGGACCTACTATGCCTTTACTTATCATCTGTCATATATAATGTTACATGGTTGGATGTCTATATTAAATTTGGCCAAAGTTCAAATTTTATTTAACCAGGAAGTCCTATTGAGACTGAAAATCTCTTTTACAAGGGAGACCTGGCCAAGGTAGCAACAAATATAACATGCACAATAAAACAACAACTAATCAAACATAGTAGCCTCTCAAGAAAAACAATCACATGTCTCGTATGTAAAACTAATCCCTGTGAGCAAAAACCTCAGGCTTGACACCGTTGTGAATACTCAGAACAAAGTGTTTTTACTTTGAAGACAAGCTGACGTCAACTCCTGACGCATTTCATTATATGGTCATCTGCTCCAGACACGCTAATGCACCAGCGGTTCTCAAATGGTGTGCTGTGGGATTTTGTGATAACCTCAAATTATTATTGCAATATTCAACTGAGCCTGTTATGAAGTTACGAATGGATTTTTAATTGACTGTATCAGTATGTTGTGCCCACCCACTTCCTAATAAAGAGGCAAACTCTACCTTAATAAAAGCAATTTCATTTCATTTAATAAGTCTTCACGGGGAACCTATTTGTCACAGTTCGTATGAGGGAATTATAAGTGTGTGACACATCACATTATCTTACATCATTTCCTGTTTAAATGGATGTGTTATTGGTGCTTTGATGTCATTTCTTGAATCATTTTGTTGATAAATGTCACGAGTAATAGTTGTCAATTGTTATTTGATAAAGTAAATAAAACCCAAAATTTAAGCTGTGATAAGAGTGATAACGCACATTATAGAGGCTATTGTGCACAGATAAAAATACAGGTTTCAAGAAGTTTGAAAACCACTGGCCTACACTGCTACATGTAGCTACATGCTAGCTTCAAGGACACTTAATCTTGGTTGTAAATGTTGTTAATTTCTCCCTGAATTCGGATTGTATTCCTGGTGCAACATGTTCGGTTGTGTTCTTACTGATGATTTTTGAAGGGGGAAAGTGCTGCTATACAGAGAATATGTTTCCCTGGTGTTAGCATGTAGCTTCATACAGCTGCAAGTACACTGTTACATGAAGCTACATGCTAACCAGGGAAACATTTTCCCTGGTTGCCGATGTTGTAATTTTTTCACCAATTTCGGATCATATTCCTGCTGACATGTCTGGTTGTGTTAAGAAGCTTTTAATAGTGATTTTTCATCGTAGAAAGTGTCGCTTTTCACTGTTACAGTCGCTCCCTGGCTACAATAAAGGTGCCACGATATGGAGGACCCGGACCAGTCAGAGCAGATTGAATTTTTTCAGGAGGGAGGCTTAAAGAGACAGGTGCTAAAACGGAGCATCTGAGACAGATGGTGAATACAGGTGTTCCAGCTCTGACAGTGTGAGGACAATAAAGTGTTTTTGATCGTTACAGCATGTAAACATGTTCTAGTAGAAATCCAAAAAACAAGTATGACCCTAAAATGAGCATACAGGTCCCCTTTAAGGGTGTGAGACTGTAAACAGGTTTCTACCTCCACAGGCGGTTTGAAAGAGGCGGGGTGCGTGTTGTACGCCAGGCTCTTCCCGTCGCCTTGCTCTTTAACACGCAACAGGACCTGGACGTCCTCACTGTACTGATTGCTGCTGGCCTCCTCGTAACGCTCCATCCACGTCTTGATCTTGTTCTCCCACAGAGACGGGTGCTCTGTCGGCTCCTGCTCCGGAGCTGCACCCTGAGAGAGGGGGGAAAAAAAACAGCAGTTGTTGGTACATGAAGCTTTGACAGGAGACAACTAGAGAACTCCGAGCAGAGCGCCTGAGAGTTGTGTTCTGCAAGTTTACCTTTACTCTGGAGGATTTTCTGGACCCTTCTCGGAAGGCCTGTCAGAGGAAAAAAGAAATCAAAATGTTAATGTTAATTGAAACATATAACACATAATGTGCTTTGACTGCTTCATTACAAATTAATTAGTCAAACCTGACCTTCTTAGCTCGGGCAGAAGATGCTGGAGGCTCTTTATCACCACTCTTTTTACGTTTTTTATCAGTCTGCTTATTGCCAAGGCGCCCCGTAGTGAGGGTGATGGTGGTAGGCGTGTGTTGGAAGGTGGAGTACAGCTCTAGTGGCACCTCATCTCCGCTCTCTGTAGCACTGGTGTCCCCATCTGAATAAGCAAACATGTCTTCATTAGTAATTAGCATAAAGTGCTACAGCTGCTGCAGGAAAAATAAAAAAACGAGCCAAGTTATAATAACACAAGATGAGGTATGTTACAGCAAAGACTAGAGGAGGAGTTTGTGTCTTGCCCAGCAGGTGTCAGTGTGTCCCAGGATCAGGCTGAGTGGAATCTGACTGACCTGCAGGGGGAGGAGGCTGCACCCTGACATAGCCTACAACCTGCTGGGTTCACTAACAATCTGGCCATTTACTGCAGATAGGCGGCCACTAAAAGCAGAACTAAAAGAGCTGGCGTAGACGTCTAACACCTCAGAATCTGCGGTGGGTGCAGCTCACAAAATAACACCATGCTCTCTGTTCTTTATAAAACTAGATAATTATCTGTGTAGTCTTGCGTACCAGACAAACATTCTCGTTTCCTGGTCTGCAGTAGGATGGCCCTCTCTCGATCCAGGTGTCGTGGTTGACAGCGTTCACACAGGTAGGTCTCAGGAATGTTCTGCCTGTCGATGCCCATGCAGTCTATGTGCTGCCAGGCACTGAAAGAAAAACAAGCAGAAGATTTTAATACCCTTTTAAAATCAGTTGTTCCAATGTTGACGACAACTTTGGGCCACAGGAGGAACACACACTTCTGAGTCATCCACTAATCATGACAAAGATCTGGCGAACAATGACACGCCGCCCCGGGCTCCTACCTGCACTTGTCACAGCAGATCATGTAGCCGTCATCGTGGGTGAAGCCACAGATGCAGCGGGTGATGTCAGCCCCGTAGCTGCCATCCTCTGAGGTGCTGAGCGTGGTGCCCCTAGATGCTTCGTCCTGGCCCCCTGGAACAAACAACCCCCCCTCTCCTTGTCGGATCAACATGGAGGGGGGAGGGGAGGCCGGTGGTGTGGGTGGGGGCCGCGCCCCATAGTTATGGTCCTGGTGGAAAGATGGAAGATGGGGGGTCATGTCATTGACAAAGCAAGATGCGTAGTAGGAGCCCATTTCTGAGGGCGAGGACCTAGACCGCTGACTTCCAGGCATTTGGGAAAGGACATCCATTTCCCACAGAGCTGCGATTACAGATTACTTTCATTATCGATAATCTTCCAAGATTTTTGTTCAATTAATCGAGCGTTTGCTCAATACAACACCAGAGAACAGTGACAACACCCCCTCAAATTGCCTAAAGCCCAAGTTGGCGTCACTTTTAATCGTTAAAGTGAGCTCTTGACTAGGAATAACAACACAGAAAGTCTGTTACATGATGTGCCAAACATTGGATCTCTGTGTAAAACGGCTATACATTCAGAAACATAGAGGATGAAAGCAACTTTTTCTTTAAATTATATATTGCATGTCAACTTTTTGCTCACATAACATTTAGTATTAGGTTGTAATCGTTACTTGGCGTCCACGTAGAGTGACCTAGATTAGGTAGAAAAGTTAATTATTAGCATCAACCCTGATAACAATCAGGTGAGCAATATTTTCAGTGGTTAAAATCTGGAGACGGCCGTCAACATGTCGTTTAAACGCTCTGAGCAACAAAACAACACATCTCCTCTGTAGCATTCCTGTTGTTTCCACATTTAAAGCTCATGAACACACCAATGTTGGAAGAACAACTCCCAACTTGGGAATGCTACATTTGAGGAGCACATGAATGCGTTTGCTTTAACAATGACCTGAAAGATTAATATACGACCAGATTCATTTTCTGACGATCAAGCTCTAATTTCCTTTACGACAATAAGACTAAGGAGGCTCGTACATTACAGCTCAGTGTTCTATGTCGGCCTAAACAGGAGCTGGTCATGTTGCATTCCCTGCTGAACAAAGAGGGAGAGCTCAAGGTGTGTAGGTGATGTGTAACAGCGTGAGAGGAAGAACAGAGTGTGTACTCACAGCGTAAGGCAGGCCAATGTAACTGTGGGAATGGTGAGAGCTGCTGCTGTAGATCTGGTGTGGGTAGCTGGACTTTTCCACCACCACAGGGCTGGCCTCCACCGATTCTGGTCTGCTGAGCAGCAACACAAACAAAGAGCACACATTATTGTACACTGAAAAACTCTGATAACAAGGTTACACAGAGTAATTGTTTCCCATAAACAGTGTGAGGAAGTGTGTGTGTGCGTCAGTGTGCTGAGCAGGGAGGCAGGGCAGCTACTGATGGTGACACAGAAGAAGAGTGGTAAGAATATGGATGCATGCTAAAGGCTGTAATGCTGTCAGGGGGCCTGGGGCAGTAGGTCACTGCACACCCAGCGGTGGGAAGAATTTACATTTGCTACTTTATACTTCTGCACTCCATTTCAGGGGTAAATACTGTACTTTACTTGTCATCAGTGTTTCCCAAATGAGGGCACGGGTACCCTAAGTACTGCAGGGGGTACATGGGATTTTTCATGTTAATCTAAAAAAATATCAGTCATGCAAAATACCTAAAATAATTATACACTAGTTCAATAATTTGTATTTTCAGCGCAACTGTTAAGTGCTCTAAATTGTCAACCGCTGAAACACAATCACGTTCACATAACTTCAACTTGCTTTTCACAAATTAAACCAGTGGTTTCCGGGCTTTTGTCCTGTGAGCATTATGAAACTGTGGTGTGTACTTTTTCTCACATGGTGAAGAGGTCAAATGATCTGTTATTCCACAAAAAAGCAAGATTAAATTATTCAAATGCACACAAATTTGTTTACTAGAGGATTTTCTTCAAATACAAACTACAAATGTCATATATTACATTACAATATATCTGTTACATGGGCAGTTTTCCTGCAGAATGAGTACTTTTGCAGGGTATCGAACCTTTTCAAGACACTTTTTAACTGAAATAAAAACTGATTTTCAACAAATCGTCTTTTTCCTATTCAAGCACTGCAGGTGAGTAAAGGTTTGAATCTATGGTCCCGTGCAGAGGTAAGTTTTTCTATAGGAATATGGTTATTACAGTGAGTTACAGCTGGGTGGAAAAGCAAGTATCACAATACTGTTTGACCAAATACTTTGATATCGATATTGTAGGGTATTTACACAATAACATCATTAGTAATGTGGAAATAATGACTAAGTGGGTGAAGGCAAATGATTGAACAGCGAGAACAGTCCAATTAAGTTCAGAAAATAGCATTACTTTACTGTAAAGCAGCCTTTAAAACCAGGAAAAGACACTTATGATATTACAATATCCAAAATCTAAGAAAATATCTAGACAAAATATTTAATATTCAAACTGATAAATGTCAGTTTTTCTGTAAATATACACTCATTCTGATGCTGGCATTGTAAACAAAGGCTTCTCAGTGTCAGTTAGCATGTATAATATTTTTTTTCTGTGTCTTTTTACTTTTTCGCACATATTTTTAAAGGTGAAATGTTACAATATCTTTATCTGTGTAGTTTTATTTAATTAATACCAATTTCTGGCCTAAATTTCATGTGAATAGCTACAATGGTAACATGTTTGATGGAGGAAAATTTGACATGTTGAATACTTACTTCCCCCACTGTCAATAATAATTTGCAAATCACTGCCTTCTGATTTTTTTCTGATTTTATGTACACACAGCATCCCAACATTTTGGGAGTTGCTGTTGGATAATATCAATACACTGCCCTGTGTAAGTATAAAGTTAAAGACAGTATTAGGTTCAGTGGTAGGTTTAATGATTTCTAACATCATAAATGTGGACTTTCACACAGAAGAGCTTGTCTCAATTTGACCAAAAGAAATTTAAAGATAGATAAATGAAATTAGTTGATTATGGCAGTTAATTAACCTATTATTTAATAACTTTTAAGGGGTAATATTTATAGAAACCAGACTTTAAGGACATGCAGACACCCTATTTTGACACTGAATACATTTTACTGATATACTCTTATTTATAGAAATGATCTGAGTGCTTCTTCCACCAATGACTGTGAATGCTGTAATGTCAGCACAGGCCTGAGAGCCAGACAGATAATAATAATAATAATAATAATAATAATAATAATAATAATAATAATGATATCTGTCAAAATAAATGACGAAAGCACTCCAGAATCCACACCCACAGCGCAGACAATTATTAGAAACATGCCGCCTTGCACTCACACAAAACAATAAACACGCAGTCATGTATTCACACCAAACCAGTATGTCCACTTTCCCCACTTCACAATGCAGCTGAGCGGAGAGCCTGTTTGGCCGTTTGAGACCAACCCACCCTTATCATGACATGATTAATCTGTTCTTCAGTTGCTGAGGGGGTGGCTCTAGAGGAAGTGGAACTGGCAAAAATGGACGGCATGAGACAAGAAAGGCATCAGGAGGTAAGAGGGAGAGAAACACTACGGGACGAGCAGGACTTGCAACACAAGGAGAGAGTTTGAGGTGAGGTGCGGTAGCAGAGATCCACGTGTTAATGGGTCATTCATGCGAGCAGATCACTTGATGTTCCTCTTTTCAAATAGTCCGCTCTAGAAAACTGCTCCAAGGTCAGAGGCTTATAAAAACCGTCAAGGAGTGGAGGTATATCCGACAGCTGCTGAGTTTCCCTCCCTTTCTCTTTCCCAAAAGTTAACCTTACACCTACTAACTCCATGAGGACTGACAACTTTCCACGAACGAGGCAGAAACAAGGAAAAAAGCTCACTAAGCACACTGGACAGCCTCTCAGGTACACAGAGCAAGACGGGTACAAAAGGCTAAAAGACTACGGGGACTGTTAACAGGCCATGCAGCAGTTCTGCCTATGTAAACTGTTCAGCTCTGCTCACACCGTCACTCCACAACCGCCATATTTTAAAGCTCTCATACAGAAAACAAGTACAGTAAAAAAAGAGCCAGTCCCCATTTGGAGTTAGAGATAATAATTATGTAGCTTTGAAGTGAAATTTGAATAAGAGTCCCAAGGTAAAGTGGTGATACGATACCTGCGTGAGCCCTTCTTAGCCCTATCGCTCGTGTTGCATGCCTTAAGAGCAATGTGCAACACTTCCTGTGTGTGTTGCAGCTCAAGTATTCACTGTCAAAGTGAAAACGTAAGTGCATGCATGAGGTCTGGAGGCGGGCCCGCGGGTAAGGTGTGAGTGAGTGTATCCATCCCATGTTTTTGTGACTGTGTACACAACAGTTTAACGGCCACACTGGTGTGAGAGATAGGCAGGGGAATTTAAAAACTTGAGTGGGCTCTCTTAACTCTCTCCCATTAATGATTAACCAGATCAAAGTCTACATTTTATAATACATGGATTTAAGATCTGCTCGGTGCGTGTATCATTTAATGGTTAAAGGAGGAAATTATTTATAAAAGGAACTGAGCTTTAGGCTTCTTTCAGTTTGACCTACAAGTGAATCAGTGAGAGAGGCGGAGACAGAGAGACATACAAAAGGCAAACCAGTGAGCCAGCCTGTTCAGTGGGAAGGAAAGAAGCACATTTAAATGTACGTGTGCATAGCTGGAGGGTTTGTATCATTCATGCCTCCACTCCAGGGAAGTGGAAAAGTAGGGCCTAGAGAGTTGGAGTACACATAAGTAGGAGGGTTGCAGGCAGTCATGATCTGACTTGAACATGAACAGCTGCGGCCTTGCATCATGAAAAGATGATAAGTGAGACGGGAATGAGGATTTTTAGGACTTCAGGTTCAAAATAGGTGTGCAGCTAGTTACGCGCTATTTATAGCTCAAATGTCAAGAGTATTTAACTGAGAACAGATGTCGTTTAAAATGCGAGCACCTGCCGGGAGAGGGTGAAGAGGCAGAGTGGACGAGCGCTGAGAATGGAGAGATCAACAGCAGGAGAGAAAAAAGAGCAGCACTGAACAGCCAGAGGCAACGCCTTCACTCCTAAAGAGCTCCCACTTGCTGCCATGGCAACACTACGTATTCTGGCGGCGTGTGCGCGCACGCCGGGCTCTGTGTGTCACTGTGGACACACACACACTGCATTAGCCAACAGCTGGTCACGCTGCTGCAGACTTCAGGGGGATGTGGAAGGGGACGTGACGCTGTTTTTGCTGGTGAGTAACCAGCCCCGCTATCCCAGACCTCGGCTGGCGCGCTCACAATACTCCAAAGAGCCGCGTGTGTGTGAGTGTGTCCCTCTGGTCTGGATGGGACCTGCGCAGCAGCAGGTGGAAGCCCCTTTCAAGCTTGTTATCTGCTTTTGAATAAAGCTGCAGCAGGCGATCGGACGCAGAGCTCGGACGGACAAAGAGTGAGTGAGGGAGTCAAGGCGAGGGGTCTACTCCTGCCCCCGGTGGCAGCAGAGCTCCGTGGAGCCGAGGAGGGAGGAGGGGGGGGGTGTCAGGGGGGGACGCCGTGGGACTGTTTAAGACGCCATGTCTATGTGAGGGCCACCTGTCACTCAGGCCAGTGACCATGGCAACAGGCCCTGCGCAGTGCAGAGGGGAGCGAGGGGGGCGAGGGACAGATACCATGGCAACACAAGCTGTCACGGCAACAGCTCCGATGAAGGCCGAGGGGAGGGCTCTCCCTCTCGCTCTCTTTTTTAAAGGGACAGGAGCCCCTCCATAAGTTGATGACGTGTGTTATTCTTTAGTCACACGAGAACCTCTTGCTTCATTTATTTGACCAGAAAAAGCCACGGCAATGTCCTTGACAAAACTATAGGAAACGGAGAGGAGGGGTGATGGGAGGCTTGTTGCCATGGCTCCATGCACCATTTCTGTTTTACTCACTCGATGCGGTGTACACATGTGCAAACATCAAGCTACAGCATTAGTAAAGGATCAAGGAATTACGTTGTGTACGCTTCACACAGAGGGTGTTATAAACACAGGCATCTACATTCTAGGCGTGCTGCCAGTTTCACATGGGCAGATGTAGTTAATAGCTGAACACTGGCAAGGTCTGTGCGATGAGCGATGGTTGAGTGCAGGCATAATCAATGGCAAGACTGAACTTTCCATTAGGGCAGACACTACAGGGGCCCTGCATCAATGAACTGCAACCTCGTTTCACATTAAAAATGTGGGAGAGGAAATCTATGTGGAAAGAGAGGACTGAATCAAGCCATAGAGTTAAAAAAAAAAAAGATGACAGAGGGCATGTTGGGCGTATACAGAAAAGAGGGGGGTGGCAGAGGAAATCATATTATATCAGATTAGAGTGTCAAATGCGTGTGTGTGGCAATACCATAGAAGGGTGAGAGATGAGAGCAGTGACAGTGAAACTGAGAATGAACTTTTGGCAAAGACCAAAGATGGTATGTAAGAATGAATGAGAGAAGGAAATGAGGAAGTGAGGGGGCATGAAAAGGTGCGAACAGAGAAGGCTCGGTGTGTTTGTCAGTGTTACTCACTCTGAGCCCGCAGCCATGTCCAGGTATGAGGTGTCTGCTGTGTCCACCCCTACTGGGATGACTATGCTCATGACGTTCTCTGCTGATCAGTTCTTGTCCTACTGAGTCCAGAGAATGGGAGTCCAAAACACTGAGGCATGCCAGCCACAGCAGTCATTGCAGACATCTAAGTGCATCCACAAGGCCTGAACGTGGAGAGGAAGCAAAAGAAAATCAGTTTATGGAAGCATACATTGATGATCAGTTCAACAGCGTGTAATTTCTTTCACACCAACATCAAAAGCAACTGCAAGGCTGCAGTGTCTAGCAAACCCGAAATTACAAATCATAGTGAAAAAGGGGTATTTCCAGCACATGTTAACACATGATTCATACTTTCAGGGCAAGAGTTTTTCAGGGAACTGTGTGGGAGGAATTTCCCCTCTGACAGAGCGACCAGGCTGAGGTTATTGACTGATGAAAAGCGAGAGGACACGATATTGTGAGGTGAAGCCTGGGCTGAGAGCTGCGCTAAAGCGACCTCTACACACTATCTGGCAGGAATGCAGAAGGCTGCACTGTAAGAAAGCTCCCACAAAGGGGAGCAAGAGAACACAGAGCAGCCAGCCGCCATGAAAGGAGGGAGGAAAAAAACGCAACAACACACAGAGGCCATTTTTCCCCCTTCGACTGGAGAGGACTGCTCTGTTCTAGGCACTCACACACAGTCGTCCCAATAAAAGACACACAAAAATCTTTACACATTTTATTGATAGGAAGTGTCATGTTTTTGTTGCTACTGTAAGATCAAGGCATCAATAATTGACTACATTAGGTGTCAGGCGATGAATGGTAGTGTCCCTTCTGTGCCCAAGCAGGCGGCTGCTTGGACTAATAAATTATACAATAGTGGTATTGATGGGAATATTAAGCCACGTATTTACGTCTGATGTGAATTCAGACGGGAGCATATGTGTCAGTGTGGCTGCCCCTGATACACAGGGCTCTGTTGATAAGCGGGATTAATGGGAGGGACAGATGCCGAGACAAAATAGGCTGGAGGTCACACCTCCGCCTGCTCATGCACACTGAGGCCAAACAAAAGGCTCAGATCAAGGCTCGGGGTGTAGATGGGAGAGGGGTTACAAAGCGCGGATGTGTCATGTATCGAGTAGGGACACATTTCACACACTTAGTAATGACACACAGTTGCACTGAAACATGTCTCTGCACGCCTGTGAGGTATCTGCCTGTTGTGGCCTAACCGTGCCCTCTGAAGCGCTCGCACAAATGCATGTCAAGACGGCACGTAGGTCTCCCTCCAGGAAACTTGTATTTCATTACCAGGTTGGCTGGTGTCAACCCTGAGAGCACGGCCTCTGTCAAGGAAACTCGTAGTTCAAATGGGAGAAACACACAACAGAAGACTGCACTTGATTCTGCCACTACGGACACAAAGGGTGTAGAGGCGGATTTAGAGAGGGACGCCGCCGCTGCTCTCTCAAATGCGGATCCAATTGTAAAATAAGGCAGTGCTGATAAAATGTAAATAAGATTCTGTAGCTGCACTCCAATTTTCTTGCCTGAAATGTTTATAGAAGCCTATTTTAGTGCACTGTTTGGCTGTAACACAAGAATTTGTGTCCAGGAAGTGGGTGCCATATAGTGTTTTTCCTGTATTGTAAAAATTGGGGCTGAAAATATCATAATCCAACAATAAAACTAAGCAGTTCTGATCAAATATTAACAAATGCTGCATTCAAATGGTGTCGTATTTACCATGTTCACATGAGCTAACAAAGCTAACAAATTTGAATGCAGCACAAGATTCTGTTCTGCGTCACCCATTTCTTGTCTCAAATGTTTTTGAGATTGTTACCAGCCAGTCGCCATATTGTTTCCTGTGAAAATGTGGATAAGCTCACCTATGTCGCCCACCAGTGGGAGCATTTATTGTTCTAGTTCGGCGCAATGCATCCTGGTAGTTGTAAGTTCCCTATCTATATTCTGTTTTCTTTTATCATAAAGCACCAATGTCACAAGAATTTGTGTTTAAACTGCACAGACAGCCCAGTTTTATGAAAAGATTATCTTTCCAGCAGTGATATACTTCCTTTAAATAGGGAAACCAGCCATGAGAGTAATTTCAGGTACTAATTCACCCAAATGCACTACTTAAGCCAACATGACTGGTGAGAGGCTCAGAGACACGACAGCTGTCAGCCCCAGGCCTAATTAATAGCAGGAAGAAGACCCCTGTGTGTCTGTGTGGCAGCCAAGACCACTGATGGGATCACCCTCCAAATTCTCCCTTGATCCTGTGTGCAGTGACTGGGTTAAACAACAGTAGGGCTTTATCACTGGCAGGGGCATTTCGTGATGGAAGCTGATGTAACCACAACAGTTTCTTTCAACCAGGAGAGGCCGGTTTGCCAAAAACACTGAAATGACAGACTCCCCCCTCCTTTGTATGATCAGAGAGGCCCAGTATGTTTCAACACTGGTTAAAAAGCTTTCCTCAGAAACAGCCTGTTTGTTCCCTCGTCCACACCGATTGCCTCCAGTTCATCCAGGGAATCCTGCTGTCACAGCTAAGGAATGCACACATGAGCTCACGTTCACCCCGCCCCCCCCTTCCACGCACACACACACAAACAACCAGATAACCCCTCGCCCTGTCCTTTCAAACATTCCTATCCATAAGGAAGAGCGGGGGGGCAAACGTACACACACCGCACTGCAGCCAGACACAGAGTCAAGACCGACAAAAGGCCGGTGGAAAAAAGAAAAACAAGTACAGTACAGCAGCATTCCTGACTAAATCTGAGCTGTGCTGTGACTGCCTCTGCCTGCTCCTCCCACTTCCTCTAGAAGAGCTGTCCATCACGCCAGAGAAATGCAGCCAAAGAAAGGAGAAGAAAAAAGAAAAATATATACCAACCCCCCTTCCTCTTCTTGTGCCCAGTCACCCCGCCCAGCCGGATTTCTCTCCCTCCTCTGTGCATTTCCTAAATAAACCTGAGACAGTAACGCAGAGCGAAGGGGAAGGGGAGTGTCGCAGACGCAGTTCCTAATTACAAGGAGCCCGGGAGAGACCATTTAAAGCCACCTTTGGCCAAATCCACTGCTGTTATGGAAACACATGAGAGGAGCGAGGGGTGGGGAAAATGGGGAACATGCACAGGGGAGGGTGAGCAGCAGAGGGACGTAGAAAGACATGTAGCGAGAGTGGACGATAGTAAAACAAACCATGGGATGGAAGTGGTTTGCAGTTCCTTTCTATAAAACCGTCCTCTGTACAGATTTCCTTTTACTGTAGGGAGCTTTAGAAATCATCCACAGCCCCTCCATTTCAGAGGGCAGCGGGGTGGGGGAGGTGTACATGGGGTCTGTCTGACAGTGACGCTACACAGCCGAGACCTGGGTGGACTCTGGGTGGCAGAGTGGAGCACGTAGCGTAACCCAGTCTCTGCTTTCTCCTCCTTCCCCTCCCTCAGCGAGGGGACACAGTCACGTCATTGTGTAGGGAATAACTATCCTTTTAAGAGAGAACCGCACTGAAGTCAGTGAGGGAAAACCCACACCGCCACGCTCAAAAACCATGCCGCTACAGACAACAGCTTTCCTCTCTCCTCGGCTTATTACCGCTGCTCTGTGTGCGAGTGTTTTCATTCTCGTTTTCGCAGCCAAGTCTCGGCAGATTATGTTTTCCGATAAGTAGGAGGAGCAACAGAAAATGAGGGATTCCAACTGAATCCCACAGCCCCCCTGCCAAGCTGATGTGACTTCACACCGTCCTCGTAGCTGGCTGCAATGACTCAGCTCATAAACAAACGGATAAAACAAACCCATACAAACACGGCGGTGTACACAGGAAGCATGACCCAGATGGAATGTAGGCCTGGGCCTCTTTTTCACGGTGCCCACAGTGGGACACATCGCATCTGCCCTGTCCTTCATAAATCAGTGTGCCCGACCCACGGCTGCCAGCGCTCCCTCTGCACTCGAGCACTGAAGGTGAAGTCATACATCAATACAGCAGGGGATACGGATGCGAGCGTCCACACAAGCAATTTCCATGGTCACAATAGGAACTCTTGTTGTTGTGGGTGCAAGCCAATACCTCGGCTAAAGATCAGTCCACATAGGAGTCAGATGATGGGGAGGCAGCTGTGTTGCAGCGTTCATGCCCGAAACTCAGGACTCGTAAACATTTAAGGAGAAGGGCAGCAGTAGAAACATTTAGGAGGTTTTCAAAGCTACATTATATGCTTATTTCACAGTAAGGATGGAGCTGAAACCTAAAAAAGCATCACAGCATGCTCTGGTGTTTTATCTACATGGATACTATTTATATGTGATAAGACGTGAGACATATAATCCTGCTACAGCATCCCAAGGACAAAAAGCAAAACATTATCCCCTGTGCTCAATTCACACAGCCAGGGAGTGAGTGAGTTAAAGGCAGTAGGAACAGGATCTGGCAGCAAAGCTGGGGCAGCCCTCCTGTAGTCTGAGTAATGTCTGTTCAGGAGAACCCCCCAGGGCACGATCTCTGCATCTCGCTCCCACTTACAGAGTATCACAGCCTGGCTCTGTGTGGCCAAAGGTGAGTTCCTTGTGCAAATTAGACAGGTGTGCGTTACATTAAACGAACCAATTCACACAGAGCTGCGTCCTTATCTGTGCGGCTGAGCGTGTGAAGGCCGTTATGACTTTGTGTCTTGATCCTGGAGAGCTATCCTGGATGTCAGAGCGGGCATATACGCAGCTGGAAGCTAATTACAGCATTTGGAGAATGCAATGTGCAGCTAGCTAAAAATGTGAGCTATGCATGTGCATGTGTGGCCAGAGGAAATTTGGAGAGATAACTCAGCATCTACAGGGCAAAAGAACAATAAGAGCCACTCAGGTCCCATTACAGCAGTGTTCGAGGATCAATTTCATGCCTGGACCGCAGCGCCGTTACATCACCAACATTGACGGCACATCCCCTCTTTATTCGGCCCATCCTGACTTGTGCTACCACCCATAAATTCTATTGTAACGCGGGCACGGCAACAGGAAGGAGGTTAGGGAGGTGTAGCAGGGCTGCAGCCTCAGCAGCCCTAAAGCCACCTGTCGGGGAGGCAGCTTGCTAGTTAAAAGAGGGATCTGTTACGGCCCAGCTAGCAGCACAAAAACAGGTCACCTGAGCCCCGGCTTCTCCTCCCAGCTGGGATACCATGTGACTGTGTTGGGCCCCAGAGCCAGGCCGCTTTGTCTCTGGGTCTCTCAGGGTCTGGGCACTGCACAAGTGAGATCACTGGAGACCGGGCCACAGCCACACAGCTTAACCCCAAATGGTGAGGTGTGCATCTACAGAGACAAACATATCACCTACACACTGGTGCTACTGTTTCAGGGATGTGTTTATTATCTGGAGACAGGGAAGAGGACAATAACAAGTGAAGCTCCTCCAAGTACAGGAAGAGAAAGCGTATGTGGCCTTCATCTGCCCTATCAATATATCAATATACCAATAGGCATCCTCTGCACCTGCTTAGCTTCCTTACTGTCTCTCTGCTGTGCACAGTGAAAAATGAAATCATTCTGTGCCGGCTACTTGATCGTGTGTGTGTCTAACTGTGTCTAGGGGTTAGGGTGAGAGGAAAGGTGTGTCATCTGAGACTGCTGTGACTCCCTGCCGCCTGCCAGAGTGCCCCATCCCTATGGCAGAGGGGGAGTAGCAGCTCGCCTCCCGTCACCATCTCTGTCAACAAAGCAAGCAAACACACACTTTGCTGCACAGGGCAACCAGGCACACATGCAGCCAGTCAGGTATTTAACACTTTCACCTCTGATATCATGTAGAGAGGAGAAAGAAGACATGAGTATCAAGGACAGAGGCCTCGGCTCCTTTACAAAGAGGAAGACGGCTGGGGATTTTGTGTATTATGTAGCAGAGAGTGATTAAGCACAGTAGGGCCCTCTCACTCATCTAGTAATAATAAACCCTCCACAAAAGAGAAGACCCTTACGTGAACCGTATCCACAGACAGCTGAACTTCATTACAGCTGACCCTCAGTGGATAAAAGCTATACAGTCCATTCAAGTGCTTAGCGGCATTTATGGTTTAAATAATGATAAAGTGACTTGAAACTGGCCCTCGTCTGTCTGCCTATTTCATATGGTTTAGTTTGAAGAGGTTTGGACGCCTGTATTGTGCATTGCTCAATGTACAGACAGGTGCTTTAGTCAAACAAGCATCTCTGTATTTAAAACATCTCTTGGTCTAACACTGACAGTCTGCACTGTGGTTGACAGCAATGCAACTTCCTCACCCGACAGCTACACAGCTGTTTACAGTCACGTAAACCACATTTATGTTGTCAATTGTTTGAACTGTAATGACAGAGGTTTCACATGCTACAGCAACTTTTAAATGTTCCCTTTCTTCACTTGGCTAACACTGAAATTATCAGGAGGGAAAGAGAGAAAAAACACTACTTGGCAATAGTCACGAACTGGCATTCCAGCTGAATAAAGTGCCAAAGTTTGTCCCACAGGGTGACGTAGAGGAAAGGACAGCTGTGCCACACCATCGCAGGGCTTTGCGAGAGCCCACAGGCTTGAAAACATGATCCTGGGAACTAGCTTTGATTTGGATTGTTGCATATTTTCATTTTTCTGATGTTAGATGGAATGTGATTAAAATGCAATTTCCTGGCCTACAGCATTAATAAACATCCAGTTTTAAACCTATCCTATTATATGGAATTGTGCTGAGGGAATATGCAAGAGTAGATGTGATCAAGACAATTGTTTATATTATTGTGAACTTGAAGCATGTACCTTGCAACTGTAGAATATTATATTACCTTGTTAAACATTTAGTGGGACATTCCTCACAATTTATAATGTCTAATAAATCTGCTGTGTTTGTTTAGGTTGAGTCTTGAGCTACAGCAGATTAAATATTCAACTGATTTCTGCCTTTGAACTTGATCTTCACAGTCTCTACATGCATTAAACTGTCCTTCACAGAGATTAAAATTCAAGATGCTAATCATTAACCATCATAACTAACCAGCTCACATCCTAATATGTTTCAATGAAATATTGAGTGCATTCCTATCACACTAAATGTTTAAAAGTAAAGAGGAAATGCAAACCATGGGTGTAGGAGACAAACTACATTATGTGAACTTTGTAAAGGTGGTTTCAGGGAGGTGATGTGTGGTAAAGAAGCAAATCTGCAATATATTTATATTCAGAGTTGTGCTTTTGTGCCTAAATGACATTTACTGGTGTTAATAAAGTGCATCAATGTGCTTTTCACTGTATTTTGCAGCATTTGTGTCTCATGTTTTATCATAATAAACCTCATGTCCCAACATCCAACATTACAACACGAAACACGAGCAATAGCATAAGCCGTGACGCATGTTACAGGAATACTATGTTATTCGTGTTGGGAATAGGCACACCAGCGTCAGTGATTGTAACTATGACAAGCCAAAGGCGCAGTATTACCGAGGCATGATCCAGGTTGCCTGACGTTATTGCTATGCCTTAACTCTATCTAGATTTCTTTTTAAAAGAATCATGTGTTGTGTAGTTGCTTCCCAGTGAGTATGTCGGCGCTGCAGTCAGTCCTGCCGATAGGGGTGTGGAGGGTACAACGTTGCTATTATGTTACCACAACACCCTGGTGCTGTCGCCATTTTCATAGCGCTTTTCTCAGGACGGCGAGACAATCGTGTGGCCAGGGGAGCCTCGCCATGGGAGGAAAATCCCCAAGAATGCATTCAATCGCCTCTTTCATACACTCTACCTTAAGTATCACTCTGTCCGTACAGTCTCTGTGTTGTTATCATTAGGGCTTTTTTGTGAATTCGTCGACAGCAGAGCCAGTAAGCTAATCGGCTAGCAATTACGGCCAGCAATGGCCTCTGGAAATGTAGCAGGCTAAATGTAATGGCACTCGGAGTAGCGGAAAAATGGAGGCACGAAGCGCCTTAAATGTGACTTTTTATAACAGAAGGCGACAGAAGCAGCTTTTAAAACAATGATACTTGGGGTATATGTTCGTTTTGGACCGTAAATAAAGGCCAAAAAATGACCGTAGCGTACAAAGCTAGCGGGAGCTAACGGCATAATGCGTAGAGGGTTAAAGTTAGCAAAGTAAGCTAGCAGCGACACGAAAGAAGTGGATTAATACTTGGCTCGTCACAGAACAGGAAAGAGCGACAACACCAGCGATGAGAGAGGCGAGCTCGGGCTGCAAACCACAGCCTATTGCACATTTATTTATTTCAGGTCGGGTTAAAGCAATTGCGACAGTGTAGTTAAGCATGGCCGGGGTTGCCAATCGAGATGGAGTTACAAATTGTATGACTGGGGCGAGATGCCCAAATGGAACACCCCCTCCCCCACGCTTGCAGCATTTGAACCCAATACACCCCTGAATCTAAATTAAGTGATCGCTACATGTACTTCTAACTCAGATTATAACAAAATAGTTCTCTCGATTGACATTGGGTCTATTCTCGATTGTCATAACCACGACTCCATAAAAGCTCAGTCGCCTATGAGATTACTGCGCAATGTAGCTAGGCATTTAAGCTATTTTAACAGCTGCTCTTGCTCCGAGTCGACTAGGACACAACAGTCTAAACATCTTCATATAACTGTTTACATGCATGTAAACGCTCATTGTTCTCCGGCTTTGAACAGTGGCATTGTATGAAATTTGCGCTGAACGGAAATAATGTCCCGTGCTCTGGTAAGCAGGGTGGGAGCCACCACGACAAATTCAAGTTTGTAGCTGATGTTAAATGTACTGTTTTCATGCTGGGTGACAGTGTTGCAAACACTGTTGTCGAGTATATGGGGATGTGGGGGTAAAAAAAGAGATCTGGCGCGTTTGCTGACAGCTGCAAGGACCTTCGGTAATGTAAAGTGAATTAAGTGGTTGGAAAATAAAGCGGGTAGCTTTACATTAGGAGGTCACGTTATTTACACTAAAAGGGATGAAACCGTACGCAATATGGCCCGCAGTCTCTCTCTGTCAAGCTCAACATCAACTGAGTCCCCTTCTGTAGTTAAGTCAACGCGTGGATACTAATATGTCGTATTTTTAAGGACAAGTTCACTGCTGGCAATGTTAACTGTTGTTGTAGCAAAGACGTTACATGTTAGGACAGCCATTAATCTAATTTTCGTCTTACGTTACTCATAACGGTAATGTGTTTAAGCGTAAAGGCTGCTTTAACTATGTGGCAAACAATTATATCGATCACCACGACGTGTAAATAATATTTACCCGATAACTTTGTATGACGTCTCGTGTATCGCCACACTATCAAAGAGGAGTCAGAGCCCTGCTCGGTCTGTGTCAAGCTAATTTGAGCTAGTAGCATGCGCTAGTTAGCAAGTGCTCTCCTGGCTGACCAACTTGACACTTAACATTGGAAACTTGCGTCACCTAGTAAGCGGTTTTCAAACTCCTATCACGGTAAATATAAAGAAAAGGGACAGAATATCCACATGCCCTGAACTAACGGTGTTGATAAGCTAGCTAGCAAGCTAAACTCAGCTGATACTACAACTACGTTAGCCAGCATCAGCATGATGTGCCTAGCCAGCTAACTAAAGCCAACAATAGCCTTCCAGGTCAGATTTGTGCTCACCCTACAAGTACCACTAAATGCAGTTTGCTTACCGTTTTATGTCCACTCTGGATGATCTGAATAGCGAATAAGGGGACCTGGGTAAGACCCCCGTCGCTTTCCACACAGCTTCCACAACCAAAACAATACTTCTGTCCACACACTGCGGATCCCTAGCAAAGCTTTAAAATGTTTGTATTCAAAGGTGTCCTCTACAGAGTCCTCTCCCGTGAAAAATCCCTTGCTTCTCGTTCTACGGGGTGACCCGAATTTGACTAGAAATCAACTCGAAACCGTTAAAACTGTGCCCTAGTCATCGGCGACTTTTAGAAATTAGATCCCCTCAAACCAGTCTCTTTTCCCTTTGCAAAAATGGCGGCCCTGCCAGGACTGCCGAGACTCCGCCTCCCCCACGAGCCCCCCTCCCTCCCCCCGACTAAACCCGAGCCCCGCCTCCACATACTGCGGGGCTACACTCCCGATTTCACAGGGGCACCGTGACCGTGCTCCGCGCGCGTTCAAGCCTGTGATTCCTCAAGACTCTGCTATTTCTGTCGGCAGCGATCTGGATTTACCTTCTGCTGCGCTCTTTAGCTTAGACAATGGTTGTCAAACAAACAATTGGACAAACTGGATCTTAGGAAATCATTTAAAGGCTGCGTGGTAATTAAACTGGCTGTAGTCGTGGCCTAATACTGTGGTGGTGGTGGAGGTATCAGAGTTTTAAAAATAGCCCATCAGACATATCTGTGCAGCACGCTCTGCAGCACAGTGTGGTGTGCTGGGTACAGTAATGGCCGTGCAATCTCTCTGATTATCTCAAAGTGAAGTCAGCTGTGGGAATGTTTTTATCAGGAGGTTTTGTTTCAACTAACTGTTGTTTCCCCTCCCATTTCCTCCTCTTCCTCTCAGGGTGAATAAGGGTATTTTGCCTCAGCACGAAGCCACAAAGCTACTTTATATTTCACTCAACCCCTACAATGCTTTTGCTTTATTATAATGTCTGCTTTTTATATTAGATAAACATAAAGTACAGCTTCTAGGCCAGTCCACATCGTTCATTAACATCACCACAAGCATGCCTGTAACACACACCCACATTTCCAAAACCAAGATGTGGCTATTTTGGACCAAAATCCTTGATTTTACAACTGGCATGGCTGAAAAGGAGCACCTAAATCCGCTACCCAGCGCAGTAGGAGGCAACTAAGCTGTTATGTAACCCCCTTACACAAGAGCAGCGTTTTGTATATTTAACTGATGTTAGGAAGGGGTAGTCTATGAAACACTGACCAATAAGACTGAATCACGGACAAAGAACACACACCATACAGGGCCACGACATTGTTGGACGTGTCATAAATCACACACACACTCTAAAGCCTGAGAGTTTACACAGATCACACTGGGCTTTAGGACAAAATCTCAAGTGCACATATCAGGATGAAGGCCAGGGATAAACGGTCTCTTTGTTTTAAGTTGTCACACTCTTAATTTAAGCTACTATTTATAAATATTGTATATAATGGGGACTCATTGTTGGCATATATTTCTTTTTATCTTGTCTTAAATTATCTAGTTGCTGTAACAGAATTATCTATCTATCTATCTATCTATCTATCTATCTATCTATCTATCGGTGGGCCACACATAGTATATTTTGAGCAACAAGCCACAGGCGGTTTAAAATAATTTTCCCGGCCATGATTGGCCCCCGGGTCAGACTATGGTCATGCCTGTCTTAGGTCATCTCTGGGCCCAGCTGTTCAGACGTATTCTGATCTGAATCTGAAATCTGATTGGATCGAGTCTTGAACGGGGCGTTAAAGAGAAAAATTAATAACTTTATATCTGATTAGATCATGTAATACATCCACTTACAATACAGCAGCTTACATGCATTACTTCTACTCCACACACATATATATGTAGTTATCTATATTCTGTGTGATTATACAGTGTAACGTATGTGCAACTTTCTATGATGCTTACTATGCAATAATATTTACAGGCTCTATATATTTACAGTAAATATACTACACACCATGTGTGTATTTCAGTTTATCCTCTGCAACTGTCAATCATGGCCATACAGTATCTGTATAAATGAAAGTTCATATAGATTTTGTATTGTAGTTTATATCTAATTTTTATTTTTTGTGATTTGTTTTTATTTATTTTTTTAATATTTTATCCTTTTTAAGCACTTAGTCACTCATTTTATCCTTTTGTTTTCTTGCGTCTGACTTGTGAATTTCCCTGGTGTGTTAATAATAATGGTCTTATCATGGATGTACAGTATCTGTATAGGTGAAAGGTGTATATAGGTGAAAGGTGTATATAGGTGTATTATCCAATTGTATTTTTTGTATTATTTTTATCTTTTTTAATCACTTTTTGTTTTCTTGCTTTTCAACTATGAATTCCCCCAGTGTGGGACTAAAAAAGTCTCATCATGGACATACAGTATCTGTGTAAGTGAAAGGTGTATATAGATTTTAAATTGTATTTTTATCTAATTTTAATTTTTACATTTTATTTATCCCTTTCAAGCACTCGATCAATTTTTTCCCTTTTTGTTTTCTTACCTCTGACCCGTGAATATCCCCGGTGTCAGACTAATAAATCCAATTATTTAATTTTATGTAATATTTTTGATCCTTTTTAAGCACTCAATCACTTTTTTTTCTCCTTTTGTTTTCTTGCTTCTGACCTGTGAATTTTCCCTGTGTGGTACTAATAAAAATCTTATCATGGATATATAGTATCTGTATATAGATTCTATATTGTATTATTTTATCTATTTTTTGGGATTTTTTTTGTAAAAAAAAAAAAGTGGATTTGTTTTCCTTTTTGTATTTTTCTAATCTAATTTATAATTTTTGTAAATTTTATAATCCTTTTTAAATCACTTTTCTCCCTTTGTTTTCTTGCTTCTGACCTGTGAACTTCCCTGGTGTGGGACTAATAAAAGTCAAATCTACCTCAACTCACTTCACTCACATTTTTGAAGGTTTGCAAACATTTAAACTTACAGTGTACACACACTCATAACAATTACAGCCTGTGTTTACACCCCATAACCATCACCTCCTAGTTGCAGTTTACAGCCCCTCTGATTTATTAACCAGCTGAATGTAAGCTGAGACGTGTTTGACACTGAAATAAAATAACTGTAGCCTTTTTTCCGACTGCTTTATTGTTGTGGTGAATCGTTTACTGTCAAACCTCCAGAAATGTGTCTGTAGAAATCCCTTTGACATCATATGTTGAGAGAGGATGTTCTCATCGTTTCCATTTATTGACCCTCCCCCACCCTAAACCGCATCCTCCCGCGCATGCGCACTGGCGCAGTGCCGCTGCAACTGCTGGTGCACGGTCAGACGGGTTGTTAGAAATAAACTTGGGGGGAGGACGGAGGTAAAAGTTGGGCTGATCGAGCCTCTGTTGCCCGCTGCTGAACGGAAATGTTGCTAAACGGCTGTGGAGGACGCAGCGATGAAAGGGTCACTTGATTTTTGTTTTTCCGGAGAGGATAACATGTTCCCATGAGCCCATCGCGTTTTCGCTGTGAAGATGATCTTTTATGTAAAGATAGTGACGCAGAGTCGGTGGGAGGTTAATGGTTGTCGAAAAAGAAGCTGATGAAAATTGGTTATTTTTGAGAAATGGTTGGTTACTGATGACATCATGCAACCAGTATTTTGTGGGCGGGCTCTGAGCTGTGAGGGGAGAGGGGCGCAACTGGAGAGCAGCTACGACCAGGCGCCATTAGGTAACAACATACTGTGTGTGTGCCTCATTTCCGTAAAGAGGCTTCCCGGTGGGTTAAAGGCAGATAGCTCTAACAGACACCGCCATGTTTCGCCCATTAAAGTAGTAAACAGACTATTTTAATCGGGCGATAAAGTGTGACTTCCTGTTGTTAAGCGAAATTCGTTATCGTTGTCGGGAACAAGATGGCGTCGAGGAGTTCTTTCTTGTAGTGCACGGCCGGGTCGAGCACTCATGGGCGGCGGCGCCGTGCGCGTTCTCGCCACCAGTGTTATTATTTCCTGTTTTCATATCCTGAGAAGTTGACGTGCTCTTCTAATTCACAACCGCAGCTGCAGACCGAGAGGAGACCTGAGTGCAAATGTTCTTTCATGTGTTTGTGGCAGTATGGCCGAACCACAGTTAGCCATGGAAATGTGTCCTCAGAGACACCTCAGCATCTCTGCAGTGATTTGGTGTTAGCCATGTTACATAAGCACCTCATTTCCCTCCACTAATTTTCTAAAAGAGGATAAACTCCCATATACAACACAATAACCTTGTTCCCAGCTGCTGTTTCTGTGTCACTACATTGAGGGCAAAGCTATAAAGCAGCCTACATTCCTTATATGTGTAGCCTGCACATATTTGGCCCATAGAGCTGATTGTGATTCTGATAACTACATCATCCTGTAGAGTTCACCCCCGCCATCTTTGTTCTAGCTTTTGACCCCATCTAGTGGGCCTTACGGGCAAGACGGAGGCATGTATAGGCTATAATGAAGAAATTACAACACTGAGTTGAGTAAATCTGTTAATGTTTTTACTATTTACATTTTTTTTTACTTCCCTGCACTCTAGAGTTCAGTGTTACCCTTAATGTGATCTATGTAAGAGCCACAAACTATTGGACCTAGGTACCGAGTGAGATAAGATTTAAGAAGAAATCATAGTTAAAATCAATCAATCATGTACCCATCATAAACTCAAACACTTGATGTAACACTATGACATATTGTTATATCTTAATGTTGTAGTTTTATTGTTGTTGAAAATAAGCTTATGGCGAATTTTGAGTTTTCATGCAGTGGTCAATTTTGAATATGTATTCTTTCAAACTGCGATAAAGAAAACATTCAAATTATACATTAGACGTTTATTTTATTACATTTTGTTTACTTGCGGCAGTAAGTTTCTCCCGAATTTACCAAAAAGTTAGCATTGTGCAGTGTAGGCTAATATGTTTAGTAGTTGGGTTACTACAGTTGTAGGCCTTATATGTCTGTCATGTTATTAAATGATCAGTTTCCATGAGCTTGAAATATACTATAACATTATTACTCAGGGTCTGAACATTTATTCTGTTTGAGCAGTTGTTTCCAATAGAAATGTATTAAATTCCCCAATGTAAATTTTTGAATGCTGTTTTCTCAAAATGAGTTGAACATCAAACGTCGAACATCTCAGCCTCTGTAGCACCTTTGTACACCAAACTTTCCAGTTATACACCTAACTATATTCTGAAGATATTTACAGAGGGATTTGTTAATAAATCATTCCTAGCCTGATTTATGTGACATTTTATTCCCAAAAATGTGGCGAAAATCAATTTTTTAAG